CGCGGAATATTTTATTAAGTAACTGGAAGTTATGTAAGATTGAACGAATTGTTCACGAGAGAGGGTTTTTCATGGTTGTGGATAGTAAGGGCAAGGGTTATAAAGTAGTTACTGCAGGGGAAACGAAGTGCGAGTGTTATTTCCATGTGCAATGGTTGTTGCCCCGCTTGCATACAGCCAGGGTATTCGATCTGATTAATTGGGATATTCGAAGTCTTATTCTGGATAGGTGGATTATAAACCACAGCGAAAAGCATTCAGATCAGAACTCCACTGTTGTAATCGTGGACTCAAGAAACGTCATGGGTAAGCCATCAAAGTTAGCTCAAACGGAGGATGTCCTTCAAAAGCTGGGCGTCTCTTTGAATAGTTTAGGTACAGTGAATTACAATTTTCAATGAAATCAACTTCGACGTGTAGCAGCTATGATTAGAAGGCACTCGGACATCCAGATATTATTTGATAGACAGAGCTTGGCAACACAGACTACAGAGATTGGGCGTACCTGTCTTCCGTCTACGATCGTCAAGGTGAGAACCAGTAATCCACCTGTAGCTTCAACAAGCGGTTCGATTGAAAAGCGGAAATCAGTTTTAGTGAGCCGATTAGTCGACAGTGAGGACGACGAAATAGTCATAGGCGACCCGCTGGAGCATGCTGTGTTCCGAAGACTGACAAAAGCGACATCAGCGAAGTACAAACTGGACGTTAAACGCAGAAGGCAAACCAATCCGGCATCACCGATGAAGGCCAACTGTTGCAGTGTCTGCAAATCTGCATGGAATACGGTCGATTTGGACGATAAGCAACAATGGATCCAGTGCCAGAAATGCGGGCGCCGAACACACAGCAGTTGCGCTGCTTACAATGGAGAGGAAGCATACGTTTGTGTGCATTGCCTCAGTCGATGTGCGTGGACGTCAAAAGCCCAAAGTGACTGAAAACGGCCCTTTTAGGGCCACGCCAATTTGATTTATTTGTCTTGGGATTATTAATTCTGTTCAGCGACCAAGATAATGGTATAGAATCCATTTGAGATCGGATTTTGTGGAGGCATTGCATACTTCGTTGTCGAGCCAATTTTAAGGAGCAATGAACCGTGGGTGTGAGAAAATTGCCCCATTAGACAACGGGGACACCATTTAGAGAGTTTCAGGCTGACGAAGTAATTGCAGACACCTTCGTGATAATAAGTCAGTTTTATTGGTTGTTCTTCGAGGATCTTAGGCTGAAAGTTTCAGAATAGTATTTAGGGTAGCTTTTGACAGTTATGTGGATGCTGTGTGGATTTCCTAAAGATTTGTTACGGGTAAATATCCCTCACGAGAACTCGTGCACTTATTATAAAGAATAATAATTATTTTTTAAGGTAATTATATTTCCCTCTACTTATTTTGGTTTTTGGCTGTTTTGGTGATCTTCGCGTTATATTTAGTATCTGTAACAAGCGAAATATTTTTGGAGCGACAATGGTCGTCAGTTGGGATTTTTTCCTTGGCTTGGAAAATGGGGATCGATCAAATCACCTTGAAATTTTCGAATCAAGCCGCGTTTGGACCTGTGGGTGGTTGCGCTGTTTGGTGGTCGTTATGTCGGTGGAGTGATCCTCGTAGGAGGTTCTCCATTTTTTGGAATGTGGTCCAGGGACCGGGTTCTTTGCAGTTGTTGTGGGATTTTCTCGGAGGTTACTACCGGGGCGTCCAGGGGGTAGTGAGGACCCGAGATGACCGCTTTACGGGTGCGGTTGTCTGCTCCGATTTTGATGTTGGTCATTGTGCTAGCGATGAGCAGAGGTCGACTGGTAGGGAGGCCATCCTGTTTTGGTGGGACCCATTTTCCCAGCCTGTGTGCTCGTTTCCAAGTCATTTTGGGGTGACAACCGGCGTTGCGCAGCACACTCAGAATGAGTGTTTTCTCTGCGGCGATCCGTTGAGCGGTGTTGGAGATAACTGGCTCTGGAGCGTGAATTATCACGTTGCGCGTCCTGCCTAAGGTGGTCTCGTAGGACGCGTGGAGCTTCTGGATCTCTATGAGTTGCCTTTGTATGTGGCGAGCCAAGTTCTCAATTCTAACTTCTTGTTTCTCGAGTCGAGAGATAGCTGCCTTGAAACCATCAGGCGGAGCACCCATCTGAAAACCTGTGGGTTGCCGATTTACTTTGCGGCTCTCCTTTTTGGGCTTGGGGTTTCCTCTCTTCTCCCCGATCTCTTTAGGATTGGTCTTGTTTCTATTGAATTGTCCAGCACGTTGAGTCGGTTGATGCGTTGAAGCAGGCGCGGTTGATTTTATGGAACAGTTGTTTTGTTTTTTCACAACAGTTTGGTTCTGAGGGACAACTGTTGATTGACCCTGTGTCGTCTCTTGTATACTCTGCTTGGTTCGGGGTATGGCTAGTTCAGGCTGATTACTGTTGCGAGTCTTCTTCGGACTCACGGTGTGGGTCTTGGGTGTCGAGTGATCCAAAGGGCTCCTCAGAAGCGACGATTTACCTTGATGGTTGGGTGGTGTTTTTCGAGTAGCGTTGGTTGGTTGACCCGGTGGTGATTTGAGTGACGACTCGCTTACGCGTAGCGTTTGCCCTTGCATGTCACCAGCATTATCCGAGGAATTCTGGCTGCCTTTTAATGCAGATTTTGCAATCTCTCGGCATCCTTGACAGATCCACAGAAGATCTGCGTAGTTGCTGTATAGTTTGAATAGCTCGCTTGAGAGCTTCGAGCAAGTTTTGTGTGCCCAATGCTCACATATGCTGCATTCTATACCTGTGACTACCCGTCTACCACACGATACATTCAGGCATGGATAAGACACACGTGGCATGGTAAAAAGGCCATGACAATCAGAAAACAATTAAATATGTTACCACCAGCTTCAAAAGAGTTTACGTAATGTATGAGGTGTACGGAACACGACGCTCAAAGATGACAAAAACGTTTAACCTACTACGAGTCCAATAAAGCAACGCTAAAATAAAGACCCTAATTATGCTACTACACTAATATAGGATAACTGAAAATTGAAAAATTCAAGACTTATCTACCACGACAAAAATTCGAACCACGCGGTCAAGGTCAGGTCAGTTCAGTTTGCACAGGACAGTATTGGCCGAGACCAATCGTGCGTCCAGATCGTTGTCAGGTCAGGTCACAGGACTAGCGGCTGATGTCAAACGAGCGTCCAGTTTCTTGCGCAGTCGAGCTCCAAGGTTCTCAATGTGCTTCGACATCTTTTGAAATTCTCGCCTCACTTGGCGGTGTTTTCTTCAGTACGATTCAGTATGGGCCACTTGAGTGTTTATCTGGAAAGAATCGCTACGAGCGTGTAGCACGAAAAAGACAGACAAGATTCATCTTAGCCTACGCTTGATTACCCTCGTCCTTGATTGAGTGTCACCTTAATACCACCCGACGTACTTGTACCACAGCCACTCATACGTTCAAACATAATCATTTGTCCTGCTTTGTCTTTGTTTATACAGCTTCCGGAAAAAGTTCCGTCCACATTGCGTCCAGGTGACCCTTGAACTCCCCAACTGAGGCTGCTGAAACAACCGAGGCTGGCAGCTCGTTCCAAGGGTTTATAACCCTATGAGAGAAGAAATTTGCCCGGATGCTCCTCAGTGCTCTCGGTTTTTCAAGCTTCATTCCGTTTCCCCGCAGTTCTAGGTTATTATTCCTGGATAGCAGCTGCGTTCCCGTGCTGGGTAGACCCCTTAATTGCTTGAAAGCCTCTATTAGGTCCCTCCTTATTCGTCTCCTGACCAGAGAGAACAGGTTAAGTTCTCTTAGCCTGCTGTGGTAGTCCAACACTCCCATCCCCGGATTCTCCTTATGAATCTCCTTTGTACATTCTCTAGTACCGCCGAGTCCTCTACTAGGGATGGCGTCCAGGCTTGCACGCAGTACTGTAAGTGCGGCCTCACAAACGCTTTGTATAGCGGGAGAAGGACTAATCCATCTCTTGAGGCCACCGTTCTCAGTAACTGGTGTAGTGCTCTGTTTTCCTTGGCCGCCGCTAGAAGGCATTGCTTGGCCGGTTTGCAGGTCTCGTGTATGAGCACTCCCAGATCCCGCACCTGCTCTGTTTGGGTATTGCCTGAGGATCATCCGGGTTTAGTCGCCTGTTATTTGATGGTGGCTGGCCTCC